TGCCCCCGGCCCCGCCCCCCCCCCAACTTTCTTCTCCTGAGAGGCTGAAGGGTCTGAGATGTCCAGTATACACATGGGTGTACCCGGCAGCCCAGGTGGGGCAGGGCAGGGGAGCCATGCAGAGGGTGGGCATGCCATGCTGGGGGCACAGGAGGAAGACACAGCCCTGAGGGTGGGAGGGGCCAGGTCCTGGGCAGAGGCTAGTTCGGAGCTGGAGTGGAAAGGAGGGCAAGACTAGGTCTCAGGAGGCACCCAGGAGGCTGGGGGAGGCCACAGGGCTCTGCGGCACCCTTCAACGAGGAGGGCACGCAGGCACCCTGCGCCAGGAAGCCAAGCATGGGTGTGAGGGCAGCTCACCTCAGCCCCCCTCCAGGCCCTCTTCCAGCCACAAAGCAGGGCCCACAGGGGAGCACGCAGTGTGGAGTCGCCCTGGAGAATACAAACAGTAATTCAGAGGATACCAGGCCGGCATCGTGCGTTAGGTAAATCGGTACCACGCCCTAACCCCGACCAACGCAAGCCACCTAAGTGAGGAGGACCCCTCGGCTTCCTTCACGGGTGACAGGACTGCAATTCCAAATTCTCAGGCATGGCGTGCCGTGACGGGCCTCCCGCATGTCGTTCAGGGGCAGTGATGGCGACGAGGATGTAAGACCTTTAGCAGGTGACTCCAGTCCTGGGGCAGTCCGTCATGAAAGATGCATGAGGTCACCTGGCGCTGCACATGGTGGTGGGGACTCACGGAGGTGCAGAGCTAGCAGGGCCTCAGAACACAGAGGCTTGTGCAAGAAGACAGAGCCAGGGGAGGGGCCCGGGCTAGCCATTCCCGGTCAGCCCTCACTTACTTCTAAGAAGAGCAGGCCTCGCCCGGCCTTACGGCACAGGCACCTCGTTCTCAGCAGCAGCTGAACTCCTGCCGCCCATCCAGGGTCCGGCAGGCCTGCGGGAGACACCACTGACCTTCCCTGCCCACCCCAGAAGAAGAGAGGAAACCCAACAGCCATAGGTTTGAACACTCACATGCACCCCTAGTTTTTAATACACCATGTGAGGACCAAAACTTGCCCATTTCTTGTTACTAAGGCAAAGTCGGCCACCCCAGAAGGCAGTTAGCCAGCAGCCCTCCAAATCCAGCTTCCACTAACAGTCCCCGTGGGGAGCCCTCCAGCCTGAACACCAGGTGAAAGCATCACTGATAACACATCCACCGCTGCAATATTCCCCATCTGTTTCACGTACTACACGTTACGAGAAAGTCTCTCCATAAATTACTTTGGATTATTTTTTGGAGAGGTTTTTGCTATAGGGTACATGGGCTTGCCAGAAAGACAGAAACAGACAGACAGAAAGTGAGAAATCACCCCCCAGAGGGGATGGCCACACTGCAATCCCTTCTCCTCCATTCTCCTCTTGGGATCTTGGGCATGCACGCACACACGTCTGGTGTGAGTTTAAGCCACCGAGTCCGGGACCCGAACCGCGGTGGACTACATGGGAGTCCAGCAACGTAGCCATTATGCCAACTGCTGGTCTCTCTCCATAAATTATTATTTTTTGGGAGGGAGAGGTTTTTTGCTATAGGGCACGTGCACTCGCCATAAAGACAAAGACAGAAAACAGAAAGTGAGAAATCACCCCCCAGAAGGGATAGCCACACTGCAATCCCTTCTCCTCCATTCTCCTCTTGGGATCTTGGGCATGCACGCACACACGTCTGGTGTGAGTTTAAGCCACCGAGTCCGGGACCCGAACCGCGGTGGACTACATGGGAGTCCAGCGACATAGCCATTACGCCA